GTGACTCTCTTCTACCTCCTGCACCATATTACTCTAATGTCTCTTGGGAAATATGGTACCAATATTGCACTGCTGCTTCTGGTCAGAATCAGGGATGCAGGTGGCCTGATGTGCCACCTCTGAGACCAACAGCAAAATATCTTGCATGCCAATGGGGGCAAGATCTTCGGAAGAATGATAGAAGAAAGCAAAACTGAAAATCTATCCGTAAAGTCTTGGTTTGGCAATGAGACTCCCCAGCTTCTATTGTTTTCCTTGGATCACAGCTCTGACTCCACCTCAGTTTCACTGCTGTCTCTGCTAATTTTCCTCTGTCTGTTTAAACAGGATGCACTGATACAGATTATTATTGCGTTACAGTCCAAATGAGAGGCAAATCACTGACCTTTATGCATGAGAACGAATCCCTTAGGTGATACAGCTGTTTTGCAGCAGTGGCTGTCTTGGAACACTCCAATGGCACATGCATTGCCCTGAGAGAGACAGGGCACAACTGAGTGAAAGACAGCTCCTCCTCTTCTGAATGTTGCAGATGTCAGCAGGCACAAATTAGGATGTCTTGGACAGACCCACTCCCTGTTTACACCATCTGCATGTGGAGCAAATACATCAAGGGCTATTTCTTGAGCGGGATGCAACGGGCTGCATCACATCCTCACACACAGGAGGAAGGAGAGCAACAACATTATTAGCTTGCAACTGTATGGGTTTCCTCACATGCCATCTTCAGTTTTTACTGAACCTACCTTCTCTCTAAGCTGGCCTAAAACAAAGTGATCCAACCTGACATCACTTTAGTAATAAGACCCTGACAGCACAAAGGCAAAAGCAACTGAATCTCCTCAACTTTGAATTTGTCCAGGTCAGAACTTTTCTGGAATCTGTAAGGCATCACTTGTGCCTCTTTTACAAGCCTCCTCTCTCTTAATCGTGGCCAGGACAAGTAAGATGTGGTGCATATGCAGAACAGACCTCTGTGACCTATCTGTCCCTCCTGGTTCCTGGGAGCTGTGCTCAGACAGCAGGCAATGAAGCAGGTTCTAGTTTTTGCTATGTGAAAGCTGCATCAAGAAAAACCCAGGGACAGACTAATAAATCATATTTCAAGGTGACCAAAATATAACTTCTGAGTCCCCAAGGATTTGTGTCACAATTGTCTTTAATGAATGGCCTAAAAGGGAATTTAAGGTGGTAAATGTGATGGTAGCATTAAATGATTAAGAGCAATAAAAGCTAGAGGAAAAATGACAAAACAAGAGGGATCTAATAAAGCTGGATAAATGGGCAATGCAGCAGCAAATGAAATGCAGCATTGCAAGAAAATTAACCATAAAAAGAACAATTTTAACTCTTTTTATGCATTCCTGAGTTCTGTATTTTACTTTGAAGGGATCTGGACTCTTGATAGACAGCCTAAAGAAGCCTGCTAACCAGACTAGATGTGATGATCAATGAAGTATAAGAGATGGCAGGTCATGCCATCTACCTAGACAAGATAGAGATAGGTGAAAACATCATGACAGAGAAAACATCTGAGACTATAATGTTCACCTAAGGTCACTTGTAAAACCAAATGTAGAGCAGAGGGCTTGAGAATGTTATGCCTAGGGCCAGACTTTGAGCAGTGGAGATGAATTCCCAGAGTCTAGGTCATTAACTAAGAGAGAAGGAACTCCAGAGGGGCATAGCATCATGCAGATGGCCAAGACAGAGGGAATGAATCACTCTTTGTCTAACTATGTTAGAGTTTAGAGGGGTTGCTTAGCCCATATGCTCAATTTTTAAGCATCTGAAATTAGTAAAATGACTTACACACACAGTTATTTTTTCCTTTAAACCACTGATTTTCAGTCACAGCATGGACTAGGGGATTGCTCCATTCGTTTTTTCCTGAAAACTGGCAACTGTGGAAATAAATGTCATCAGAGGAACAAAATTAAATGAACAGTGGTGAAAGCTCTATGCACTTAAACCAGCCTTGGAGCATGGGGGGACTGGGGACACTGGTGAGCACATGTGAGATCTTATCCTGGCCCTCTGACATCTCTGACCAGGGCAGTGGGTAAAGCGTGGGTCCCACACATGACTGTGACTGTCACTTGGGGGTGTCTGGTGGTGCGGCGAAGCCCAGTCCCTCCACCACCATGGCAGGCTGAACTCCCTGGCTGTTTATCATGAGCAGGTTTCATGTAGTGCAGCAAATGTTCATGCACATGGTTAGGCCTGCCCTTGAGGAGCCCAAGGGCAGGAGCCTGAGGACCTCTGTGACCAGCATGCTTATTTCACTGACAGCCTGTGGCATCATATATTTCATTTGGGCTTAGAGTGTTGTTCCCTCTTCTACTTTGGGCTTGCTACGTCCTCATGTGTCTGAAAATGGATCCTTTTTATATCTCATCAGTAAAAGCAGAGGGTTCTTTAGTTTTGTTTGTTGGAGTGTGATAGATGCAAGTGTTGGTTGTTTGCATAGACGTTTCACAGACTGCAAAAACACTGTCACCTGTTCCATAAAATGAGGGGAAAAAAGCGCCATTCTGCCAAGTGCCTACTAAACACCAGCTGGTAAGTGTCACAACGCCAAGCTGTGCAGCTATTGACTGTGCTCACAAGTTAAGGCAAACCTGAGGACAGGGAGCCTAACAGTGACACCCAGCTTAGGAAGGTGGACTAAGGATTCGCTCTTTATGCAGGCTCCCCTGTGGTGTGAGTGCAAGCTCCCAGCAAATGGGCTGCTGGTCCTTCCACACTGGGTGATACACAGCCTGGGAAGCTGGTCCAGCCTTGTCTTGCAGAGACCACTTCTGGGGGCTTCTGTGGAGTCGAAACAGATCGTGAAGCAGCTCTTCCTGGGAAACTCTCAGTAAATGAAAAAAATTGAAGGCAATTTGGTGCTGGAATAGGAGAATTAAATCATCATGGTATCAGGATATGAAGAACTATCTGGAGCCTTTTTTTTTACTGTAGACCGCGACTAAAGGGAGAGACAGCAATAGTCTGAAAATACCAAACCATAGCTCTACGGAGAGACAAAGTCATTTGTGGGCATTGTAGGCTTGTATGGCATAAAGGGATAAATGCCTAGTACTTCCCAGGGAAGGCTTTCAGCACTGAGTATACTGATACAGTGGAAGACTGCCTAGACAGGTTACAGAACCTTAACAGTCATCTACTTAAAATATATAAAATTGATGTTTAATTCAGACAGGAAAGTAATGGAATAGATGTCCTTCTAGCTTATTCTCTGTGATTTCTGTTGGTGGCAGGAGGCAAGGAAGCTCTCAAAGTCTCTCGACAGTGGTTTTGTGTCCTCTACACCGCTTCTTAATTGTGGTGGTTGCAGTTCTTTGTCTAGTGTTTTAAAATCAATATGATATATGAAGGTGAGTGCTATGGTATGAGTAAAAGAATCATTATCAAATACTTTTCAGTGCTGTTTCTGCAATGAAATAAAGCATGATCAGGTGATAAGCAGAACCCATGGCATATTATGTTTGTGAAGGCACAGATTTTCATCGTGTTAGATGAGAAAATGAGATATCACTAAAACTTTTTTCCTCAGTGGGTGCATGGTTCTCTAGGGATGCACAACTTTGTACTGAGTCTATGGAAGCAAGGAACCAATCTTGAAACGGTACAGTCTATGATGAGGCAAAGTAGAGACTGCAGTGTGTTGTGCACATCTGCAACAGAAATGGGGCATGGTATTCCCGTGGTAAAAGTGTGGTTAACTGGGTTGTTATGTCTGCACATCTCTTTTTTGGGCAGTTTGAGGTAGAGAGATTCCTTAGCTAGAAGGAAATCTGAAATTTCATTGCAGACTGTTCTGCTTTTAGAAGCCCTTTGCCACTTCCCATGAAATTTGTGTTAGTGTAATTTCCCTACCTCTTCTCATTTACACATGCAAACAAAAACAAAAGATAAGATCCAGATGCAAAACTTTGATTGCAGAGTAAGAATGATCATGAATGGCCACTTCATCTTACAGTCTTTCATGTCTCTGAAGGCATGAGACTCTGTCAGGGCTGTGTAACTGGTTTCCAAATTTATCAATGCCCCAGCTATAATGTTTCAAAAAAATCAGCCAAGACTTTCTCTTGGCTTCAGCATGATTGAAATAGAAAACTAACTAGTCTGGTGGGCTGTACTTGGGCTGATTCACTGCTAAGGGCAACGTCCAAGTGAACAGTGATAAAAGAAGCAGACAATCTGCTCGATTCTGCAAAACTGAAGCCTAGTCTCCTTGACATGATGCTGATGAAACGTTTTTTCTTGATGCTCAAGGCATGTAAAGCGCAAATAAACACTAACTGCTGTGTGCAAAGTAGTCAATAATTTGTCATCAGACTTTCCTTTCTGTTTAACTTTTATTAAAAGAGGTGCTAAGGTATTGTACTGTATGCAGTACATCATATTTATTACCAAAATTAACAAATATACAAAACTTTTACATGTAATTTTCTTACATCCATTTATTGGTCTATAATACTGCATTTGTTCAAGTAGGTTATCTACAGTATGTAAACATCCCTTGGATTGACCTCACACAGATTAGGAAAGCCCATCTAACCCATGTAGTTACCAAATATAGCTTTTTCTTATTTTAAAATTTATTTGGCTTTCATTGGTAAAATCTAATCTTCATATTTGGCACATGGAAGAGACATCTACAGTGCAAAAGAGGCAGATTTTCTGGTTTTGTTCTGAGCAGTTTAGCAGAGTCATGTTTTTAAAGAGCCAAGAATAAATTTACACAAACTTGGTAGGAGATGGATTAGTATTAATGCCAATGACTCAAAGATCAGCCATTAAATTAGAACAGAAATTCCAAGCCTCTTCCCCAGCCCTCTCAGTCATGAGGAAAAAAAAAAACCCAACCTCAGCCATGTTTCTAAAGGATTAAAAAAGGACTCTGTTAGCAACAGAGAGGAGGTTTAGTTTACAAGGAGCCCTCTGAGATTGCAGTTTCAATTTTCTGCTTTGTGGAATTTTTTTTTCTCTTGTTAGCAAGCAAATTTTTTTCCTTTTTAATGGGGAACATGTAACCAATGGGGAACAACTTTTTTGTGGTGGCAATTTCTCAGTGAGTTGAAAATTACAGTTGGAGTTTACAGATATTTGAACCCAGATGTATAGAGCTCAGCAAGCTGCCGTGTACAAGGGGGAGAGAAAGGACGAGGGAGAGAGAGTAATGTCATTGTATTCCAGACGTGGAGCTCTCCAATTTTTCAGTAAAAACCAGGAAAAAACTTACTTCCTTCTGGTTCTCATAGTTTCAAAAATGTGACTTAATTTAACTGAGTAAAGCTGATCCAGAGAGACCTTCATTCGCGCCTTTCTTCCCGTTCTCATCCAAGCACCGTATTGCTATTTTTTTAGGAGGCCTTACCCATGTCCATGGAAGCATCTGATGAGAATGGACCGAACTGGACACCATTTCACGTGGAAAGCCCTCTGCCATTCCTCATCTGTTACCACAGAGCCCCGCTGCTGTCTGTGGCACCGTACATCTCGGCCAGCTTTTTGAAGCGCGGCCCCCAGTCCGTCAGGTAGTCGTAGCTCTGGTCTGAGTCTGTCGTCACCGACTGTAGGGAGCTGAGCGACTCTGCCACCGAGCCGTTCCCTTCAAACATGTATGTCTGGAGGGAGTCGAAGGGAGGTGCCCACAGGTCCATGTCGGCTTCATAGAGCTTGGCAAGCACGTAGTTGTGGACGTTGTTGTCCATGACACATGCCTGAGGCACGTATCGGGAGAGGCTCTCTATTTCAGGGAGCATGTCCTGCCGGTTTTTCACCACCAGCTGAGCCTCCCGCGGATTCCACATGGCAGCAATATCAAAGGCCTCTGTGTCCTCCTCCCCGCCACCCTCATCATCATACCTGACGATGTTCTCATGGATGTTCTCCTCCTCGTCAATGATGTATGGCTGCTTCCGCTGGCGCCGCATGGAGAGGATGAGGAGCACCAACACTGCAGGAGGCAAGCAAGACAAGGGGCTGTCAGCAAGGAGGCAGATCTCGCCAGCACTTCAGACTCTCTGTTGCCCTGTTTTCCCTTGGAGAGCCCAACCAGCCCCTTGGATTTAAAGATGTTTTCAAGTTGAGGAGTGTAGAAATCCCCCACCCCAGAGTCAAAATTAATAGCTTGAGGTCCTGCTAATTTGTCCCTTTTTGCACCTAAATTCTTAACTCTTGGTGACACTTAGGACACGTATATGCTTGCAAAGCACTTGTAGTGATACCTGAGCCATTTTAAGGTGCCACCTCAGAGATCAGTAACAATTTTTCTGTAGTGGCATACAGTTCCAAAGAGATTTTTTTTTTTTTCCTGCTGCGTGGCTGGGTTTTGTAACCTGCTTTGGAGATGCCTCTTGGGCTGCCCACTGCATGTGACAGAGATGGATGGTGCTAAGGCACTATGGTCATATGTCTGCCTACACAGCAAAATGCTGACCTAGCCCTTTAGTCTGCTCTAAAGAATTTTTTGTTTATCTGCAGACCTCCTGCAGTGCTGCAGTGCTACAGTGCTGGTGTTCCTCATCCTCTCTGTGCTTCTTAGCATGGGAAGAAGTGGATATACAAGCACCGGAGCCCTTTGCTATTGAAAATGTGCCATCACTTTGTGACTGTATTTCCAGAGCTAGAGCTCAGCAAAGATTTTGGATGCTGAAATTTTGAACTGAGGTATCTAGGGTCCTTTGAAGAGCCAGAATTGAGGCACTTTAAAAGAATCTTCCCTGTATCTGACTTCACTGCTCCTCATACCGGGTCCCCTGAAATTTCAGAGAATGTGTGTTTTGAGCTAATGTCTCATGACTTGAGTGAATGAGGAAACTGAAGTTCTTTTGATACCAACAGTTAACAGGGGATATAGAAGGTCTGGGCAAGGAAAGGATGAATTTTAGTTATGGAGACAGAACTCATGAAAGATGCTCAGCCCTTTATTGCTACACAGCCACAATTTAAATGAAATGTCTCGAGCAAAAAGAATGGAGGTGGGGACATCTCTTGACAAAAGACAAGAGATGGAACAGGGCTTACCACTCCATTTTCCTGTGGGAGCATATGATCAGAAACTGCTGAGGATGAGAAAGTAACCTGTCCCCAGCCACAGCTGTCAGTACTTCCTCCTGCCTTACCCCTTGCAGGAAGACATGGTCATGTCAGACACCCTAGCACTTTGGACACCTGGAAGAAATATTTGCAGGCTGTAGTTTTCTCCTATTCCTACGGCTCAAAGTCTGAAACCATATGCAGCTGACTATACCATCTGGTCCTTGATTTGGCCCTTTAAGTATGTGTGAGTCTCCATAAACACACATACATAGATGCCTGTGTGTGTATTTGTGTCCTACACCTTTGGTGGATGAGTGACACCCTGGGCAGAACTGAAAAGTCCTCCGCCAAGAAGAAACCAAAGCTTTACCTAACAGGACAAAGATGCAGGCGAGGATGGCAATGAGTGCCCCTCTGCTCAGGCTGACAGGAAGGACGTAGGCTTCTGCGTTGCAGGACATCACCATGCCCTCATCATCGCAGCTGCACACGTGCACGGTCAGTGTGCACGTGCTGCTCAGCACAGGGCGGCCGTTGTCGCTGATCAGGATGGGCAGGTAGAAGGTGTTTTGCTCATGTTGTCTGAAGCCAGATCGCCTTGTCAAAATCCATGCTGTATTGTCTGAGGGCAGAAAATAAACAAAGACAATAGCTGATATGCAGAGCAAATACATTCAGCAGAGAAGGAAGACTAAAAAAATCAGCCCCAGACCCACACCCATTTTTTCTTGTCTCTTCAGATTTAGCTAAGAGAGCTTTCAGAAGGCAAGACAGAAACGAACAGTTGAAGACAACTTGTTGTCCCTGTTTGTTCATGCTCAGCAGCTTTTCTAGGCTTCACACTTTGATGCTGCCACCATTTTGGAGATGCTGGCATATAACCCTTGTGGACATGTTATGGTACTCTTTATGTATTTTGATACATGGTATGGTTATCTGCTTGAGGCAACAAGGAGACAAAGGAAAAAAACCCAGCTTGCTATCCTAAAGCAGTAGTGAGTTGAAAATTTGCAGCTAAACATTTTTTCAGTGAAATACATGCAATTTCATTAGTACTTCTGCTACTGAAAAAAGTCAGAATGCTTTGTGTCATCATTGTCAGAATTATTCTGCTTTGATTTGACTATTCTGCTTCATTTAGTGTAACTGCCTGTTTTTTATCAGAACTTAAATCAAAAGGAATCAAAATGATGCTGCTGAAAAAAATAGTAATAGAGTGACCTAATAGCCAGTCCCTGTTGGTCATTTCAAGGGAAATTGCTACCTCTGGGGCCTTTTCCTCCATATTCAACATGCTTTTTTAAAATGTCAGAATTTCCCAGTGGCATTTGAATTCCTGTCTACCACCTCCCCCAAATTCCTCAGACTGTGCACCAAGTTTCCTAATCAGAAAACAAGTGGATTCAGGAAGTTGTTCTCAGTTCTCATCTCATGAATACCAAGGCAAAATCTTTGGAGATGAGTGTTGATATTGTCAGTGCTAACTTTCAAGATTTTTGACCTCAGAGACTTTTGGAAAGCCCAAGACTGAATGTCTCCAATGTGATCTGGCTCATCAGGGAGTCTAAATGAACCTGCATGAAAACTGTCCTTTCTTACAAACATGTCTACATATCTCGGGCCAGCAAAGATGAACAGCGAACACAGGTACTTTTCCTCTTTGGCAGACCTGCAAGTCTGTGCTGTGATGTGTGGCATTTTTGGGAGATGACCTTCATGCAGTTTCTTTTACTGCTTAGTTTTGTTTCCTGTTCCATTGGTTCATAAGAGGTCACAGTCTGGTCATCTGCATCTCCAGGTTGTTAGCACTGTACATTTTTTATGCTTGAAATGCAGGATGTTGATCAGCTGTTCCCAGATGGATTAGCACAATGGGACTGCTACTTGGAAATGGCAAGAAACCTGATCACAAGCAGATTGTGAAAAAACTTAAAATATTGACATGGGAGTGTTCCATTTTCTCATTATTTCTCTGTCCACTCACTGCTAAAATTTAAATCTTGGGTGATTTTTTTTTTTTTTTTCAGAGCAGAGACTCAGGTTAGATGCAGATAAATTCAGCTATATTATCTACTTTTGCCTGAACACCAGAAACAATTTGATGGCTTTTAGGAGTGAAATGAGGAGTGCTATATACAGCCAACTAAGGAATATATGCAAACTCAAACTAGACTTGCTAGACTTGTCTGCTAGACTTAAATTATGCTTCAATTTCCATACTTTGTGCTGAAAATCTTATGGCATTAGATAGTACTGACACGCATAAGCGTGGAGATGTTGGGTTCCATGGTTTGTGAGATTAGATTGAATTTGTGACATGTTTTTAAAAGGAATCTCAAAGTCTGTTTTGCTTGCACATCAATGGCATTTCAAGCTTTTACCTTGAAAGCGTAAAATTCTGAAGTGTGCTTGCATGTCTGTATGAGAATGTACAGTGAAATTGTAGTGTCTCGTTAAAACATGCAATCCCAAGAGCTGGGACTTTGAGGAAAGACCACTAGATGCAAGATGAAATCCCAAAGTTGCTTAAAACTGATTATGTGTTACTGTCTACTTATTTCACCTTTGATATGCCATGCAGCTCTGAGTATGTGCAGTGGGTATGGACAGACACAGATAGATCTCTCCTCCTTTGTAATAAGGGATAGGACAAGAGGAAATGGCCTTAAGTTCACCAGGGGAGGTTTAGATTGGGTAATAGGAAAACTTCCTTCACTGAATAGGTGGTCAGCCATTGGAAAAGGCTGCCCATGGAAGTGGTCGAGACACCTTCCCTGGAGATATTTAAAACACATGTAGACGGGGTACTTAGGGTCGTGCTTTAGTGCCAGATTTGGCAGTGTCAGGTAACAGCTGGACTCAGTGATCTTGGAGGTCTTTTCCAACATAAATGATCCCATGATTCAGGAATGTGTCCCAAAACCCAGTAGAGAGCAGTACCCTGTGCCTCTCATGGCTTCTGGGCAAGGGGTGTGCTGTGGACAGGAGCCCTTGCCTCCTGCAAACCTTTCCCTCTTCTTTCCTGCGACAGGCACAAGTGCTTTCTCTTCCTCAGGCTGTTCATGTGCCTTTTAGTACGTGCTCCCCAGCTATTAATACCACATCTTTCCATCACTGCTCAGTTTTAGCATGAGAAAAAGCAGCCCAAAGGGCAGAAAATGACAGAGTGCCTGCATTTATGCTATTTCAATGAAAATATTTGAGTCATCTTAACTGTGGTAATTTGGTTGCTTCTCTCTTTCCTGGGTGAGAGACTCACTCTCTTTGAATTCACTTACAATAGAAGTAAAAAATTCTATTCAGGTGACAGCAAATCTTCATTTTATGTAAAATTGTTCTTTGTGAGGGAAAAAGACTTCATTATTCTAAGCTGGTTATACTTTGCCTGTAAAAGAAGTCACAGCCAGCGAACTTGACTGAAGCGGTGCAAAATCAGCTAGTGAGAGATCTCAAGTGTTTTTGTTTATTCTTTTTTTTCAGGCCAAAACCAAGTTTCTATAATCTAACATTGATAGATATATATTTATTTATGTATCTATATATCTATATATCTATCTACCCTCTGCTGCGATGTGCGACCATTTCACCCAAGTCATAAATGTTCTTGGGGATAAAATTGTCTTTGTGACTCTCAGCATTACATTTTGGCTCTTTTGTTTTGTTTTGCCTTGTGCTAGGCAGGCATCCAAATAACCCCTAGAGAATTGTTCTACCTGTTACTCTGCAATTGAAATACATCGGTGCCAAAGCTTGTTGTGTGACTCATCAAAAGCCAATGTGATTTGACATGCTAGTGCAGTGCGAAGGACATGTTGGAATGTGGTGCAGCATGGAAGAAACTGGAATACAAAATTTTATTCCAAATTTGATATCTGCTAAGCCCCAGCCATCAAGAGAAGAGGGCTTGTGAGGACATAAAAGCCCCATAATATTAAAAAAAATAGAAGCAGGTATGATAAGAATGCTCAATATTTTTCATCACAGTTTCCAACGCAGTATCTTTGGCTCACGGGGCTGGATGGTAGCACTTAGCTATGACACTGAACAGAGATGTTGAAGATGCAGCATGGAAGGTCACACATTTGTATGATCAGGAGGTGAAATCCGAATTTCCCATGGGCATGCGGGCTGGTGTCTTCATGTGGTTGTGAGAACAAGCCATGGAGCACCATCTTCCTGCATTTTTCTGCCCCACTGGAAGTGATGTACCACCCTGGAGAGGCCAGGGGAATCAACTAACATGTAGGTCCAAACCTTGAGATCAGAGCTAACCACCACTCTTCTCACAGGAAAGGCTTGGTTTCTTCCTGTATGTATCTGTATACAGAAAGTATGCATCTGGGGGTGATCAGCTCAAAAATTCCATTGGTCTTTAAAAACTGATTGTAATGATTAAGAAGAGTTAGGAATAATATAAAGAAATATTTCACCAGCAGTGAGAGAAAGAGCACAAGGAAGCAGGCGTTATGGACACCACTGGCTTCAGGAAAGGATCACACTTTTGCTTTAGTATTTTCAGCTCACTGTTTTTGCATTCTGCCAAAGTGTGAGGTAGACCGCAGTTTTAGGTAAGGAAGAAATAGCTAAAAATTTTCCTTGCACAAATTTAATTGCAATGCAGAGGACTGCCAGAGGCTCCCAATGACAGGCCTGGTGGTGGCTGACACCAATGTTGATCCTGTGCCCATTTAAATGGCTTCTGTTTTCAACAGTTCCTGGTTCCAAAAGATGGAGTGCAGCGGTTAAGGTTCAACAGAAGATCAGCTCAGAGTTTAATCTGAAAATGCAGTAAGCTTCTTTTGCTGTTCATCCCATTCTTACAGCAAGCCTCTTTTTTTAACTTTTTCTCAACATAGTCTCAGCTGGAATTAGAAGTGGGGAAAATGGCTTGCCAGTGCCCTACAGCAAAAACTGAAGAGATGGGAGACTCCAGCTCAATTCCCTGCTTCATCACATATATCCAATATGGCCTTGGGGAGCCACTTGTGTGTATCTCTCACTGATTTTACTGAACTCAAAGGGAACCAGGCGTGTAAGTAGCTTAATTTCTCCTTGCCCCAGATCCTCGTCTATAAAGGAGAACAATAGGATTTCTCTGTCTGCTGAAGATATGCAGAGAATGAATAGACTGAAAAAGTTCTCAGAGACTAAAATTACGAGGGCCAAAGAAATATGTAAAACAGCTCATCAGAATGCAAACTGTGATCTATGTGTTGCTCAGGAAAAATCAACGTTTTAATTGTTGCCAAGAAGGCTACATGTCTTGCAGTTTCTCTGACTGCTATATTGGACAACCAAGTAATCAGCACAATTGCTAATCGTAACACTTCCCACAGCCTAGGAAGTGTTTCTGTCTTATGTGCATAGCATGTGAGTAGCAAAGTGGGTTCTGTTACTTATCCTGTCACCCTGTGACATACAGTATAGCTACCTCCTCTGTGCCTAAGTTATATGATTTATATAGTTCTTAGTGGCCACTAGATGAAAATAAAAGCATAAATTACTGTTACTTAAATGACTACTGCAGTCCAATTTGCTGAGGAATTAAATTATTCCTTCATCGTGGAATCACAGAATCATAGAATCATAGAAAATACTGAGCTGGAAGGGACCCATCAGGATCACTGAGTCCAACTCCTGGCCCTGCGCAGGACACTGCAATAGTTACACCATGCACCTGAGAGCACCGTCCAAACACTTCTTGAACTCAGACAGGCTTGGTGCTGTGACCACTTCCCTGGGGAGCCTGTTCCAGTGCTTAGCCTCCCTCTGGGTGAAAAAGCTTTTCCTGATATCCAACCTAGACCTCTCCTGACTCGGTTTCATGCCATTTCCTCAGGTTCTGCCACTGGTCATGAGACTGCACTGCTTCCTCTCATGAGGGTGTTAAACACCCCAGTGAGGTCTCCCCTCAGTCTCCTCCAGGCTGAACCAAGTGACCTCAGCTGCTCCTCATACAGTTTCCACTCTAGACCCTTCACCACTCTCTTTTGGACACTCTGTAATAGCTTAATGTCTTTTTTTATACTATGGTGCCCAAAGTGTGGATATTTCAAATAGTCAGTGGTTTGATACTTAACATTTTTATTTCAAATTAGTAATCAAAAGTATCCTAAGCTTCTTGTGATATATAGATATATAGATATATCTATCTATATCTATATGGGAAAATGGTATTTCATAGAGAGTGGGAGGCACAGCCATTCATTCACTGCTGTCACTATAAATTATTGCAAGTATGGCCTTAGACAGAAAAACTGCATCTGATGCTGGGAATTTTGTTTCTTTTTTTAGAACAATGCCTTGAGGATGAAATGAGCCTGGTTTGCCAAATGCTTTAGCAATAGTTGTGTTATATTTGTTCAGTTATTTTGGCAATATATTCAAAAATAAAAAGGAATGAGACAAGGGGGGAAAGAAGGGGATAAAAATGCAAGAAATTGTGTGTGGAGGCTTCAGGGAGACTACAGAAAAAAAGGCTTTTGGGATGAAAAAGCACTAGCATAGTGTGGAGGAGGGCCCAGATTCTGCAAGTAGTGTGCTTTAAGACACATTTGGTTAATGGAGGCACAGGCTTCTTTATGAGCCTCTATGTTGTTCTTTCATATGCCTAGAGAGGCCTAGATAGGGGCTTATGAAAGTAAATGTGACAAGTAGGCATGTGTGGGAGCAAAGGCAGGCTTGGAGGCTGGCCATGTACGCTGCAGGTGGCCAGTCTTTCTCCCCATTTATTCTGGAATCGCTCGCTGATTTGCTTGCTTTACACACTAAACTCCTACTGAAGTCCAGCTCCTCAGTACTGACTTGCAAAGCTCTGCACCAGGTCATTCAAGGTTGTCCCTCCTTCCTAATGAAGACCTGACCTCAGTACCATTGTCTGCCCATAGAGGTCCTCTTTCAACAGGAGTCATGCAAAGGGCTGCTACAGCAGGGCTTTCCTGTAGGTTCCAAAACCCCAAAAGCTTCCCCAAAGAAGCAAATTCCACTGATTAGGATGCTGAAATTCCAGTGCTTTGCCATGAGTCTTCCCACTGGTGTTTCCACTTCTACTTAGGTCATCTTACACAGACCTTTAGCTCTACACCAAGTTACCCCGCCCAAGGCTCTGAAAGTCCTCCCTACTTCCTTCTCTCCTTAGGGAAATGAGGATGTGCAAGGAAGAAGAAAGAAAGTGCTTGGGGGTAAAGAATGGAACAGTACAAGAACTCTTCCTTTTTCTGTGCCTGGGAGAAAACATGAAGAGTACAAGAAAAGAGCAATGTAATTCCCTTCAGATTTGTCTTCTAGTTCCAGTCACTATCCTACCTTTAAGCATCTCCTTTTGAATGAATGCAATTTCCACTCTGATAATCCGAGATGCCTGCAGCCTGACCAAAAGACCTGAATTTGCACAAAACACTGGCACATTTCCTCAAAGAAGGAAAAGTGGCCTATTGCTAGAGAATATATATAGAGAAGAAAATATCATATAACCTTCAAGTGTATTAAATAACATGTCATTTTATTGCTGCCTTTAAGGAGCAGGTGTCATTTGGTATTATTTAAAATGGCAGTCTTATCACACACTGTAAGTCACAGCTTCTCAAGTCCAACTCAGGCATTAGAAATTAGAGCAGCTAACTGCCTGTGTCCACTCTGATTACCTTGATTGTCCCTTAAAGTAAAGTTGGGATTGTTGGCTGCCTCTGGAGCCAGGCTGTAGTAGAAGTGCTGACCCTCCTGCGGGTCATCCCTGTCGATGGCACTCACTGTCTGGATCAGCTACAGTATATAAGAAAAAAGTGGAAACAGGTGAGAAGCAAAATATTCATAATATGAATGAATAAAGAGATAACATTTTTTACATGTATAAATATAAGCAACTGGAGCATTTAAGTAAAATTGTCTTCCAGAAGCATAGTGGATAAACCAAGAAGAAACTCAAAACCTTTCAGGCTTTATCTGTTTTGCTGTGGTCATGCACATCTGGTCATGTACATCCCTTTTAAACAAAGGAGGAAATACTCAGTTTGCTTCAAATAACAGACACTTTCCTCTCATGCATCCCTATCTTCTGTTGCACATTTCTTTTTGTCTTTTGTGTTCCCAGGGTTCTCAGAAGACTCCTTGTGCATTAGAGAGCTTGTAAGAAAGCCCATACTTATTTTCAGCTTTATATTGAAGGTAGAAAAGGATGTCACGTTGATTATTTTACCATTCTTTTAAATTTAAATCAATAAAATTCTCCCCACGATGTCAGTAAACAAGAAAGAAAGAAAAACCAACCATGCAGATACTCGGCATATGCAACGAGTAAAACCAAAATAGAGAAACTAAGACAATGCTAAATCCAGAAAACAATTTGTCACTTCACCTATACAGGCTTTATAAAGTAGGTCTAACAGCTTGAAGCACAATGGCTCTGCCTGAATAAACATTCTTTTTAGACAAGGAATAAATCTTCATCTGGATTTTTTTACTTGAAAGTTATTTTGGGATTCAAAGGCAAATGACAGACCCATAAATTCTTATTCCCCACCTTAAAACTGATTTCAGAACTTTTTAAAATGTGGCAATAGAATTTGACTTTCTCTGCTGAAGGAAGTAGTCCAAATTAGTGTGCACAGCAATAAGCTCAGAGAGTTTATTATTTAGGACACACATCCTTCCAAACCAGGAAAAAAGTCTAGTCAATGATTTCCATTCCCTATATTATTAAGAACCTCTGTAAATTAGTGAGATGAAAGTATCCTGTATATGATAGTTGTGAGGGCAGTTGTTCCAGCAGTGAGTAGATATTTCTCTCCACTTCACATAGCTGGGAGAAGCTTCAGTAAACTCTCACAGATCACGAGCACTGTGCCTATGTGTTGAGCACTGTGTCTATGTGTTTAAACTATGCTAGTCAGCTTTGCATTAGGAGGCATCAGTCACCACCGTGGACCCTGGGTTGTGAAGCAAGAGGTCACCTCCCCACAAACAATCAGCAGTAGAGCTTGCACCAGGTCCAGTGAGGGTGAGCTCATGTCCATCTGTGACACCAATCACCTTGTTTAAGGGCTTTGATTGAGTTTTGGAAAAGAGGGGAGTAAAGAGGCTTTGCCACTTGCTTGAAGGTGCTGGTTTACAGCATATGGAATGGGAAGTCTTGTGTTGTTTTAACTCTCTGTCATCTCCAGTTCACAGCAAAACATATTCTGTTTGGCACCCCTTTGAAGCTGATATTATGTCCAGCTCCCATAAGTCCAGGTGTGCTTAACGCTCTTGTAACACTTAACAGTAAGACCTGTCTGTCACACGTGGCCTGGGCTGACTCTGTGGCACTTCTCATAACAATTCTCTTTGATGCTGCTACAGGACAAACCAGGTGTTTGCCTGCTGGCACCTGCCCAGTGGAAGGCTTTATTTCATCTGTGAGATGTATTGCACAGTGAGCCTAGAAACTATTGTAGGAGAAAAAAAAAAATTGTGTGAGAGAAAAAAGAGGTGCTATATATGATGCTAATCCCAGTGCAATATGCTTGCCTTTGGAATGAAGCACAGACAGCTGCTGCTGAGAATTCAGAGGAAACTTGTGGGTAGCTGAGCCCTCTTTCCAACACTCACCCTTTCTGGCACGCTGCCTCCATGTAGGACAGCATCCCCTTCCCAGCCCCCGGTGTTACAAAAATTTCTCACCTGCCCTGCTTTGGCATTTTCACAAACAAATGCTTCATAAAATCTTGCAAACTCTGGTGCATTATCGTTCACATCCAGGACTTTCACTGTCACAGAGACGCTGCCCACCTGCGAAGGGTTATCTGGAAGGAGGAGGTATAATGTAAAGAAAGGCAATATATGGGAAGGGGAAATGGCTGCTCCTCACTCTGCTCAAGAGGTAAAGCAGGTTTTTTCCTACTGGCTTGCATTAAATGACATTTTCCCGTTGGGAATTGTGGTCACTTGGGACTGTGTGACTCAGAGTGAAGTTGCAAATGCTGTTCTCAGTCTACCCTAGCTTCCCATTTAATCCTATCTTTTACAAACAAATTCTTTAAAAGACTCCAACCTCATTCAGTCCTATGGAACTATTTCTATAACAAAAGTTTCAGACAATGCCCCTTAACTTTTTTTCATGGCCTTTGACTGGGCAATAATATTTGTTGAGCCTCCGCTCTGGTGGTATGAATTAGGGAGGGACTCTTTTTAAGGGAAGACTTGTTATTTAGAGCTTGTTAAAAATGACAGTTCTCCAGCTCAGATATGCTTTTGCTCAGAATTTATGTTCCTTGAACTAAAAAATAGTGTCAAGTCTTTGATACTTTGTACAGAAGGCTTTAAAATGTAATAACATATGAAATTGTACAGAAAAGCTTTCAGTGAAGCTTAAAATTGCAATGAAAATTTTACATTCTGCATGACATCATTTGTGATGTTTCTGTCCCACTGGTTCATTAGCTTTCTTTGCTAGTAAATCAATACATCATTTCACATATCTTCACAAATTCCAAACTAAGTGGCCACAAGATAATTTGTTTTTCTTACTCTGTTTTTCTGCCCCAAATCATCTTCCTCCTTCCCCCTCCTTATTTAATGATAAAATGAAACTCTAACCAGAAAGAAAAAAATGAAGAAGTTCTAAAAGGTGAAAAAATCCAGAAAATTCTTTATAATTAGTATTCTCATCTTCTTTGTAGCCATACCACTTTGTGCATTTATCTCCAAATGTATTTCCCTTTATAGCAAGAAATTATATGATCATATAAACAATAGAGAGTTTTCTTAAATGTTCAATGTACTGTATTCCATAACATGTCACATTGTGTCATTGAGATAATACTCAAACTATATTGTTTCTCCCTAATGTTTAATTTAATCCTTCAGCCTTCCACATATTCATACTTATATATTGTTAACACACCTATCATCATGGCAGATGAATATCTACTAGTCTTAGTAATATTGATCTAACCTTTAACATTAGGATCTTTATTCAGAAGTGCACAACTATGACGTTTTTGAAAGTATTCACTAGATTAAAATATTGTGCTGCACATATACAAAGGAAAACTGGCAGAGGGCTGATGGAGGATGAACCAAAGGAAGACATGCCAAGTGCTGCTACAGGGGCATCTTTTACAGACTCATGTGTACATGGAATAGCAATGGCCATTGGTGGCTGAAAATAAAACTGGTGTCAAAATAGATGGAGGTGAGCTCCTATCATCTCACCAATCCCTCTCACTACTTAAAAGGGACAGAAAGGCACCATGTTCTGGAACAGCCTGCAAATATGTGGCAGAGTCACTTCAACTCTTGTGAAATACTCCCTCTACTTTCCAAGTTGGCCAACTGCATTTTGGGCAAGCTTCTTGAAAGTTTGTTGCTCTTGAACTGCCCCACCATCTCTGGCACAGCCTAGATGTGCAGAGAGCTCTCTCAGATGCAAGGAATGACTCAGCTACTGGCAGCAAGCTTCTAAAAAGCTGCTGCTCCTCAGTAGATAAACTGAGATCCTGAGCAAAAGCTACGTGAACCAAAGAGATTTCAGGTGAAGACTCGGTGAACCTTTTATTTGCTTATATATCACAAGCTCCTTTACGAAGCTCACATCTGTGAGTATTTCAAACTCAGCTAAATTTTTCATACTGACTCCATGAAATGCTCAGCATCTCCTTGTTCTCATAGCCTTGAAAAATATCTGTCACAAATGAATACCGAGCTGAGTTTTAGCGCATTGTAAAACCCAAAAGCATAACAAGTTCAGCATACTCGAAGATCCCAAAGCACTCTGGCCCAAATTATTTATGTAGTAAGCAGATGGCAATGCCATTTACTTGCTGCTGAACCAGAGAAGACTTCAACTAGTGACCTAGCAGTGTAGCATCATTGCTGCCTACCAGTCCCTGCACCACTCAATCTTCCCAGGTACGACTGGTAGCTCCAGCAGCTGTGCAGCCTTTGCAGTGTCTGCTTTAGCTGCCTAGCCCTTCTGAAGTGATAGGATTCTGACAGAAACACATCAGGAAGACTTTTAAATAAAGCCCTGGAATACTAATGATCTGAAAAAGAAGGACTCTGCATTTAATTGCCATCCTTTATACCTCCCACCACGCTGTGAAAATGAGCATAAAAAATAAATAAAATGCAGTATTCGCTTGTTGATGTCAGAAGAGTAATTCAGTTAATATGGCTTCCCACTCAATGCATAACAATATGTGAACTGCTGAATTCAGGTCTTTCAGCCAGCTTTGTCTATTGTATCCCTTTAATCTATGTACAATCCGCATTATCCTTACTCAGCTCCATGGCTAGCACAGTGATGTTGTGCCAAGAAATGTCCTCCCGGTCAAGAGGTCTTGCAGTCATCAGTGCTCCTGATGTAATGTCGACATAAAAGAACCGTCCCGGATCACTGTTCCTGTCAATTGAGTATCTGCAAGAGTACATATTAAAAACGTTATTAAACCCTAGTGAAAACTGTTTGTTATAGCTAACAAAGTATCCAGCAATGGGAATACCATCATACACAGCAGATCCACACTCTTCCATAGCTCCTTTGACTTGTGTAGGTCCAGAGTGAGATGCTGGAAAAACTAGGAGTTCATGTGGCAAATGGCATTTAATGGGGAGTACTACTTGAATGTAGCTGGAAGACGGGAAGATTTAGAGGAAGAAGCCTTAAAGCAAAGAACAGCCTAGCACAGGAACATCTGCTTTACAGAGAAAATCTGCCAATGAGGAGTGTGACTTCTTTTTCTAAGCAAAATAATTATGCCCGTTCCTTAGGCACAATTCAGACAGGATGAAATTGACTTCACATCAGCTTATTCTCTGAGCACCTAGGCTGATGAGAAGGAACTGTTCCCTTCCTTGTACTTCTGTATTCTCTCCTCTTTAAGGGGAATAAACTCCACCTGCATCCTGGAGCATCCTACTGATTGAGCTGTGTCAGCACAAGGGGGATGATGAGTGGTTTTCTCACATCATCCAGTCAGAAAAACAGCTCCATCTGCGAGGTTGATTCATCATAATTACTAAACCTGCCTGGCCAATATCATGTCAGTTTAGTGTTGGGAACAAGCTCCTTGCACCAGTGAACGGGGGGATTGTGGTGGTACCTGCAGGCCAGAAAACCTGGGCAGGGAGGCATCTGATTGACAGATGTCACTGCTGTACTTGGTCAGAGGGATTGTTCTGCAGGGTGTGCAAAATGCTCAGTGCCCTTCATATGCATCAACTTGCTCTTAATAGCAGTTTGCACAAGTTGCATTCCTAGCTATTTATTAGCATGGTAAGGGATCCTTTGACAAAAGCCACACATGTGCCTAGGTAAATGTCACAGCCTAGAATAGACCCCAGACTTAGTGTCCTTTCTGTTGGTTCTTTTATCAAAGTTGATGGGAATTGAAAGCTTTAATCTTAACAGATGCTGAGCAGGGATCATTCTTCCGAATTTTCTCCTTTCAGCATGAGTGCTTTCACTGAAACAATCATGCTAGCCTGATCTTTATGTGGGGACTTATTATACAGGGACTTTCTAAACTGGGATATAAAATCCTATTGAGATATGCTGTTGGCAAATTCTTTTAGACTCTTTTTCAGAAAAATCAAAGAGGGAGGGATGGCTGGTTTGCATCCCTTTCCTTCCCAGTCCTTCCATCTCCTCTTAAATAAAGAGATTTCTCAGGCATTTGATTTATTTAGGAAATAAGTACAGGTGTTCCTGTATTTTGCTATAATAATTATTCTTGTATGAGGGCTATAAAAAGAATTTCTCTCTGACAGTTTAAGGCCAACAAGTATCTGAAATTGAATAGAGCCTTGTGATTAGTGGTGTGGAATTAATCACCAGTGTCAAGAGGAACAGGTGGAGTCTTTTTCTGAAATCTCCACCTAAGTTCACTTGTTAATAGTACCTGCTCCTGCACACTTGTGTCCCCTGTACTATTTAGATAATCTTCCAGAATCATTTAACAACAATCATGTAATATTTCCAGGTGCCAGAATTTCAGAGTGTGGGAGCCAGGTTCTGGTTGCTGGGAAAATGAGGATTTAAGAGTTCCCCTGTGTTTAGGGAGCTCTTCCAAAATATGTCCTGACTTCTCAGTACTTGAGAAAATGGCCAGATCACAGTTTTAATTTCAGATGGAATTCAGCTTGTGCAACAAAGTATGTATCTGGGATTACTGTTTTTCTTATCTTGCCTTGCCCTGTGCAAAGTGAAGGCAGAGCAAGACTAAAACACTGTGTACTGGATCTGGCTGAGCTGGAGTTCATTTCCTCATATTAGAACTCACAGTGCTGTGCTTTGCATTGGTAGCTAGAAGGGTGTTGATAACACACTGGTGTTTTGGTGACTGCTGAGCACAGCATCAGCACTGTAACATTCCTTCCTTAGTATAGGGCAAGATCCTGGGAGGGGACACAGCTGACCCAAACTGACCAGAGGGATATTCCATACCATATGATATCAGCTCCGATATAAAAGCTAAGGCAAGGAGCAGGGGGGCAGGCATTCACTGTCTCCAGTAACTGCCTGCTGAGGAACACTTACAGGTGCTGAAGCCCTGCTGCTCGGGAGTGGCCGACCATCACTGCTCACGGGAAGTAGAGAACAAACCGTGTTATCTTTCTCTTTGCTTTTGCATGCACAAGTTTTCACTTTGCTTCTGCTTTAATAAACTGCCTTATCCCAAACCTAAAGTTGCTTTCCATCTTACTCTCTCCCCTGTCCGGCTGGGAAGGGGAGTGATAGAGCGGCTGGGTGGGCACCCGACGTCCAGCCAAGGTCAACCCACCACACATTGCCAGACTGATACTGCACAGAGTTGGCATGGATGGAGGAGACCACAGGAGAGGAAAGGAGAAGTAATTCTTTACATCTGCATTTTAGATAGCATTACAAATGGTATTTATTCTTTTTTTCCCCCTATTCCCTTTACTTCAGTCCTTATATTTGTAAGTAAAAGGTGTGGGGGAAAAAGGAGGGAAGGAATGAGGAAAGAAAGGGAAATAGAAAGGGAGGAAGATGGGGAGAAAAGGGGAAGAACATTGTCAAGGAACAGACTTACAAAAGTGTCTGTGCATATTTACAACTTATTTTTTTTAATGTATCTTAGGTGGTGCATTCTGTGCTTTGTAGAGTTGTTTTGAGTTTCATCGAGTCACTGCAAAGCTCTGAAGAAAACTAAGAAAAACCTCCTTAAAAATAACAATGAACCCTCTGATGGTCTTCAGAATTATTCTTATACTATTTTTTTGAAGATTAGCACAAAGCTGTTTGCATTGCAGTGTTTGGATAATGCTAGACAGTAATCAGCAAAATAAGATGCAAGTGGAAAAAAGTTTAGGGTAATGAAATTGTGATACAGACAGTATAATAGTTTTACTGAGAAATTTGAGACAATGTCATGAGAAGTATGATAACCTTACAATGTAGGCAGAAAGAATAGGTATATTAAAGCGGCAAGTTTGAAAAAAATAATTAGAGCAGTAACACAGAGAGCAATATCATTAAGAAAAACAGGCTTTGTGTCTTCTCAGATCTCCTAGCTCGCAGAATTGCTCATTTAGATTTCACTTTCTTCAAAACTCCTAATACTCAATATTTAAACTTCCTTCTGTATTTCCCAAGGACTATTCCTGAATATAGACATCTCAGAAGCTGGACTGATGCAAGGTTAGGCAAACAGCAGGTCAACACCCAAAACTTCTCTCAGATAAGAGAAGCAGCCAACCTGCTGGGATAATCAATGTGCAGTCACTAGGAGCTTCTGCAGGTTGTGAAAACTACTATGTGGTCTGGCCTCAGAGAAGAACAGTCTGCTCTGATAAATGGGGCTGGCAGTGGCTGGCAGCCACTGTGGAAAAGAGTGCTGTGATCACACAAATCTGCTCCTTTGGTTCCTTGCTGAGTTGCAGCAATGAAGCTCCTGTGGCTGTAAATACACCTTTACCTTTCTTAGGGGAATATCTAGCTCTGCAGCTTTCACCAGACACTAGATAATTTAGCAGTTTGTGAATATTTATTAGTATGCATTCAATCTACCCCAAAAGTAGCTGTGTATTTGAGCTGTTGATGAAGACAAGCTTTGAAACAGAAGGGGAAGAAAGGACAAGTAAGTTGATTACCACCGGTATGGCAGCAAGTTCTCAGCAATGCTGTCAGGTTTTGTGCCAGCAAATGCACGAGAGTCCAGGGTTTGCTTTTAATGTATGCTATCAGGACATGCCTGACCAGCTCATTGCTAGGCTAGATGCTGATGCTGTCCATACCACAGAAAAGAGTGAGCTCCTTCACTGCCTTGATAGTCCCCTCAGTGTGAGGTCTGTTTTGACTGAATCCACTGATGAATACTACTGGCTAAAAGGAGAGAGTCCCTCCTGTGCTCTTTCAGCCCCATCACTGCCTCACCAACCAGACATACCACTCAGTACTCACAGGGGAACACATAAAGAGAGGACAGACCTGATGGAGTTGTTGGTCACATCTGGGTCCTTGGCAGAAATGATCTGTATGGTGGTTCCAATATCCACATCCTCAGGCACTTCCACAAAGTAGATGCTGGGCTCAAACACAGGGGGTTCATCCACATCCTCCACGCTGATGTGGACGGTGGTGGTGTCACGGAAGGGACCCAGATTCAGAAAACGCATTTCCAGATGGGGGTTGGCACCCTCTACTTTCAAGGTATAGCTTTTCTTGCTTTCAAAACTTAAAGGCTAGGGAGAAAAAAAAGTATATCTAGCATTAGGCACACTGAGTCATATTATTTAGGCCATATAATTTTAATTTTCAAAAGTAAAATATGCCTTCTAATATGAACTTATCCTTCTTTTTAAAAATAGATATTTACTATGATTTTCAATCATAAGGGCAACAAAGATAAATATTTGCAGAGAGAGACAAAGTGGTGAATAGAAAGCGTAGTAATAGAAATGGCACTGTACACTTTTTTTAATTTCATTTGACAGTTGAACTGAAAAATACTTGCAGGTCACTTCAAAATACGTATTACTTCATTCTTCTTGCTAAAATGAAAATAAAAGCAGCAACAGCACCACTGCATTGTGATTCACATAGCCTGTTTCATGCCACTCTGATGAAAATACATGCAGAAACAGATAGTATGGGAGTTCCTGAAAATCAGGTAAAGATATGAAGAGTCTGTTCCTCAAAAATGGCTCCAGTGTCAGGAATAAGGATGCTCACACATAAGGTGGAGGTCCCAATTAACATCCTCTTTTTTTCCCTCAGGAGGCTGTAATCTTGTCTCCAGAGAGCCATGTCTGCCAAGTGATAAAGAGCTCCAGTGGGAGCAGGGAACATGGTTAGCTGCCCTTGCAAGATCCTGTTGCAGTTTTTATCAGTAATTCATCCCTCCTAGCAGTGAGGTTTTTCACCTCCTTTCAGTAAGTATCCTAAACAGAGGTTCACAGTCCAGGTATGATGAGCACTAGGATTTGAATCTCCTCCCTGCCTAGAGAAAAATTTAATTTCGAAGCATTTTAAGGCATCCCTGACATCTTCCTGAAGGAGTTCTTGACTTTGTATAAAATATGAAATACTCAAGTATTATTTGAAACAAGGAGGTCCCTTTCCCTTTCCCTTTCCCTTTCCCTTTCCCTTTCCCTTTCCCTTTCCCTTTCCCTTTCCCTTTCCCTTTCCCTTTCCCTTTCCCTTTCCCTTTCCCTTTCCCTTTCCCTTTCCCTTTCCCTTTCCTTTTCCCATGGTTAAAAGGGGCCAGTTTCTCAGTTAGTAGTTTCATGAATTTGATTTCCTATCTAGATAAAACTACATATCTGCTGTACATGGATATAGAATTAATTAATGCTGACACCGAACTGCTCAATAAATACATTTTTCATCTCCCTCCCCTCCTCTTTCCACAGGTATCTGAATAAAATAAGGTGTCTCCAAAGCCTGCTTAGATCTAAATAGGGCATTCCCCATTTAATGTGCAATTTACTAGTCTTGGTAAGAATAACTAAAAGAATTAGACAAACCAGAATGACAGTATGGATGGATCAGTCCAAAATATAAAAAAATTTTCCCCAGATGAAACATAGCTTATTAATGACACAGTCACACTTCCCAAGTTGCAGTCAGAAGTTACAAGCAATTGCACTGTGGTTAAATGTTCACAACCCTTTACTGGTATAATCTGGGGAGTTTTGATCACACATTCTGAGTTGGAAGGAATTCACAAGGATCATCAAGTCCAGCCCTTAACCCTGCACAGGACCATCCCCAAGAGTCACACCATGTGCCCAAGAGTATCATCCAAATGCTTTTTGAACTCTGTCAGGCTTGGTGCTGTGACCACTTCCCTGGGGAGCCTGTTCCTGTGCCCAGCCACTCTCTGGGTGAAGAACCTTTTTCTAACATCCAACCTAAACCTGAACAACCCCTGAATTCAGTCATGTCTGCAGTACTCATCTACTGCCACAACAGCTTCCTTCTTCCTGAGATGTAGAAACATTGCAGGGACATACAAAAGCTCGTGCTTTCACAATAAAATTAGCAGTAGTAATGCCTAGGAATGCCTGCTTTAAGACCGGGGTTCTTGAAATTATAAAACTGAAAATCGTTCAGCATTTAGTATGTGGGAGTGAGGAATGAAGACTGGAATGAGAACTGAATTTTTGTTCTGGGGACATGACAGTCCAGTCTTGCTGGAGATGCTGTTCAGTGAGTGATACAGTACGAACTGTGCAATCTGTGGCAGCAGGTGCAAACAGATGATCTGAAACTTTCTCCTACTGCCCTCAGTTCCACCTGTACATAAGTGATTACTTCAGGCATAGCACTTGCCAGCAAGGATTTGTTGAGATCCACAAGCATAATACCCATTACTGCAGAGTCATTATGGTCTAACAGTTGCATATTTATGTGCTGTAAAAATAGCAGTAAGATAGATTCACAGGACTGAGTAAAACTTACTGTCCATCTGGCAAGGAATGTGCAATGCAAAGGTGCCTAAACATGCACTGAGAAAGAGGCCATTATATTTAAAGGATTCCCATGGGAAGAAAACTTCACTAGAAACATTGCATATACACTAAAAAGCTAAGTTATAAAAGGGCAGTTAAATCAAAGACACACTTTATAGCTCTAAAATGTGACCACATTATGAAAACACATAATCACCTAGAATAATCAAGTTAGAAAAATGAGAAAAATCAAACACGTGTGCTAAACCATCACATTTTTATGCTCCTGTTTGCCTTGGACTCCTTCATTGTCAAAGATGGATTTTCCTCCTGTTTATCTCCTGTGCCAATGCCTCAACACCACTGGCTTTCTCATCAGATTTGTCTCCCACCAGCACATTTAAACCTCTTTCCAATACTTGTCCCATGGGGAAGGCAAGGAGATTACCTTCTTCTGTGAACTGAGCGTGCTGCAAAACACAGCCAAGAGGAGAGGCAACTCATGGAAACCACTCCTTGTCCTTGCTCTCCTTCGCCCAGTGCTGAGACAGGCACTGAGAGGTTCACCATGCAGGAGGGATTCATCAAGACCCACTATGAGAAAGTGATTGATCAGGCAGTGTCACAGGAGGAGGGCATGGGAGGGCTCTCTGGGGTGCCATGCTGGCTGGGTAACCCATCACTCTGCCTTCCAGGGGCAGCACAAAAGGGAATGCAGGGAGAAGAGGGAGGTAGAGTGAGCATCAATCTCACAGGTGGGGAGCTTGGAAGGAGCTATAACTCTTCAGGAGGTGCTTAACATTTTGTGGGATTAGTGGGCTAAGAAAAGTAGTCCTGAGACCACAAACAGTAATCTTATCAGTAACTGTAAATTCTGGCTTTCTGACACCCCTGATAGAAGTGTTAGTTATTTCATTTGGGAAATCTGTCAAGAAAAATTAAACAGAAAGTTTTGTTTTCTTTAAATAGGAGTTAATTCTGGGTTTAGAAATTCTGGCCCCCATTTTGACATCCTTTTCTATCCACGCCAATTAAATTATCTTTTTTTCTTTCTTGAGTGGACCCAAAGGACAACTTCCTAATGTTTGGCTGTTGATAATCACAACATTACATAAAGCTACAGGCATAATATTGAATGTTACAAATATTTATGTACAATAGGTGGATTGAGCAGTATGTACCTGATGTCATGTAGCAAAACTCTATTTATAATAACAAAAGTCAAGCTTACTGACACATTTACTCCAAAGAAACTATTTGTTTTAATCAATAAATGGGTGAAAAATTACATTAAAGTTTGCATTCAACATTTATTTAATTCCAGAAAACATGCTCGACTTTAGGGACTAGTGTGCATAAACAAGAGTTGGGGAAAGGTGACCATAAATACAAGCTTAAATGCTTTGCTCTAGGGCATAGAGGCTTGCAAGGTCAACTCTCTCCCATGTATTATTGCATTTTAGTGCCCAATTTAATCCCAGGCTATTTAAATGGAAACTATACTTCCTTATTAGTACACCAGATATGCTTAGGCAGAAATATGGTTACAATTTCATAACCTAGAAACAGAGTTGAACTTCTAACATTTATGTAAGATTGTAGAATAAATATCCTATAGCAGGGAGCCTAAGCAAAATACTCTATGCCTTCCTGCATAGCCTGAGGTACAGAGTACTAGCAGTTTCACAGCTGCCATTTTAGCGACGGCTTCTTCTAGCCTAATTAGCATTTATGGATCTTCAAGCAGCAATTAAAAAAAACAACACTGCCTGGGTTTTATTGGTTTATAAATAATTCTAAGGCATGCTTTATTATTGTTTGTGGAACACTAGAGTGAAAAATACATACAGTTCAAATGCAAATATTGATCTAATTTCTTGTGTTGTAGGATAATTAAGCTACAGAGAATATTTAAATAGATAAATTGTGAATCAGAACATTTCTTCAGAGGAAAAAGACATGTTTATGCTAATGTGCTGTCCCCACTTTATAAAAGTGGCTCCTAGGAACGCAGTCTGCTTTCATATTTTAGCAATAAATGTTAAAGAAATTATGGTTTATAGCAGGAAAGGGGTTACTGTCATGTAATGGGAACCAAGTTCCTGAAGGCATAAAGGAATATTCTACACATAAAATGTAAGCAGGACTGTTAGCCTTATAAATTACTATAAAAAGGAAACTTTTCTACCTTTCTCACAGTTATGATGCCAACTTGGTAATTAGGATCAGTGTTAATGTCAAAGACATCCAGGCCATCTCCATCCACAAGACTGTATTTCATCTCTGCATTAATGCCTTCATCCAGGTCTTTAGCAACCACACGGCCCACAGTGGAGCTGACAGGAGCGGACTCCAGCACACTCATCTGATAATGCTCTGGCACAAGCAGCAGAGAGGGAGAGAGGAGAAAAAAACCCAGGCTGTAAGAAGGAACCCAAAAACTGCACAGCAATGCAAAGATTGGATAAGGGCAGGCCACAACACTGCATGGCCTACTCTAGTATCTTTCCCAAAGCTGCAACAGCACTTTGTGATTGCCTTTAAAGAGCTGAATTTCCTGGGAAAGTTTTATTTATGTGTTTGTTATATCAACAGGTTTGTTGAATGGGTTCTTTTCAGAACTGTAATACACAGGAAAATAAGAACTTCAACTAGAAAAATAGGGCAATTAACACCAGTGCTGTTGCAGCCATGATACAAAGCAGGATATGAAACGATTTAATAGGACAGGTATCTTTTATTAGATCAGCTTGTACAGCAGGAATAAATACAAGTTTTGAGCAGCACAATCCTTTTTGAAGTCCCTACAAACTTCTTTTCAGACTTGAACAAAGCTCAGCAGCTTGCCTGTGTTTACCAAACTTACCAGTTACTCTATTAAAATATATTGCCTCTCCCTGCAAATACTGTCTTGAGCACATTTGCTGCCTTGCTATTTGCTTAGCAGTAAGCCTGGGGAAAGAATGGTTTGCTATTCTAATGGTGTATTTTGAAAAAAAAAAATTGTATCTAAAATACTTTTCTGCCACCAGACTTTCAAATCTTTCTTGATGTACTCTCTCCGTTGACTCCACCATCTATTGAGTTTTACAAGGCAGATTAACACAAAGCGTGGGGTTTCATCTCTTCTCATTTTTCTTAATCAAGTGTTTGATATCAGTTACAATTCATGCCACTTTCAAAACACACTTGACAATGGCGTACTCAACAAGTTGCTCTGACAGAAGAAAAAATGTGGAAGTTGAGACTTCTTGCTGATCTTAGTGGAACAGTTTGATTTATAAGTTCAACATGCAGAAACAGATGGAGAAGAAGAATAGCAACAAAAATAACTGCAGGAGTTTTCATTTCTCAGCAAGATGAAAAAAATGGCAAAACGAAAATGGCTTGAGATTGATTAACACCACTAAAAGAATCAACATCAAAAAAACACAAATTATATCCCTCAAAAGATTTAGTTCAATGAAAACTGAAAAGTTTCTTTCAAATTTTTAACAGTAATATAGATTTATGTAAATAAATGTGATAAAATCCTAAAAACGAAGAGCAAAATATTGCAAATCTTGTTTTGAAACTCACTTTTGTAAATACAAAGTAATGTTTCTGTTAACTGTGGCTGTTACATATCTTAAGATTTAATTGTATACTGCCAAGTTTTAGATGAACCTTTCCTGGAGAGCAGCCTGTATGACAACCCACTCCACACTGGCAGCACAGCTACCAGACGCCCCCCTGCCACGGCCTGGCTGGAGTGTTGAATGAATTATCTTTCAACTTTCAGCACTGCCACATGTCCCTGATTTGACAGACATCCTTCTGGAGATGATAGGATGAAAAGACAATCAGGGCAGCAATTAGTAGCCAAAGGCAGTGGCCATTATCAGTCTGAACACAAAAGTTCTCCTTCCTGCTTTTTTCTGTAAATCGATTTCCCACCGTTTAAAAAAAAGAGAGTTGTTTTTGATAATCTTGGAGGTCAGAAACCTTTTCTGAAAGACAAGGTGGTGAATGATCCATTTTGACATTTTTCTGAAGGAGAGTTTTGTATCGATCTGAAATTCCACCCATCTCTAATTGTCACTATCCTGAGTTTGAAAATGGCTGTCATGAGAGCAAACAGCAGATATATAATTCATACACTCATTTTTGCCTGTTCTGGAACAGTGGGTACTCACTCTGTGGAAATCTGGGTGGATTATCATTGACATCAGAGAGGGTGATGTTGACTGTGGTTGTTCCAGCTAATCCTCCCAGCTGTCCACCCATATCCTTGGCCTGGATAATCACTTCATAATATTCTTTTGCTTCTCGGTCCATGTTCATTAGAGCTGTTCTAATTAAGCCTGAGATTTAAGGTAGAAAGGGGTTTGGGAAACAAAAGAAAATGGCAGTTAAAGAGTACACGAAGAATGTGGAGGGTTCTTGCTCCTTCATCCCATTCTGTGTCGAGAACGAGACCAGACTCTGCATTCAGTTCCAGCTTTTCTGGCAGAGTAAAACTCACCCAAGTGGAATCTAGGTTAACAGAAGGTGTGAATTTTAAAGAAGCCCACTTAAAACGCATCAGGTCTGGGGCAGGCTGTCTGTTCAAAATTAAAATGTTGCCTTCCCACGAAAAGCTTTTTGGTAATACTGTGCTACATCAAATTAAGGCCTTGCCGGGGCTACCTATCTCCCCATAAAGTCAGGAAGTGATATGCTCAGTTCAAAGACGCATCAAGACGAGTTTTCCAGGGTGTCCCTGGACACGCAGTCCTGGAGGCCACCTGACACGAGCCCGCAGGCTTGGCTTGTGTCTGTCGGGACCCAGACCGGGCTACGGGAGCAGAACGCGGGGAGACGGCGCTGTCTCGGGCCGGCTGCGCCCGCTCTGGAGGGGTCACCCTGCTCCTGCCACGCAGCAGAGCGTCCCTTTCCTTCGGGGTAACACTACTGCAAGAGGACATGAGGTGGCAGCAACACTTCTCTTATGGAGGCTGCGAGGAGCCGGCCCGGGCAGCACTGCCAGTGTCGCGGGGCTTGCCCCGCGCTCCCGGGCGCTCCCTGTGTATCTCCGCGTTTCAGCGCTGTCCGCCCTCCAGTCCTCCCAGCTCAACCCATTCCTCAAGCCTCCAGCACCTCCGGCATCACTGCCCCACAGACCCCAGGCAGGAGAGCGGCAGTGGCCGGTGGTGCAGCCCGGGGATGCGCTGCCAGGGGACACTTCCCAGGGCACCAAGGGCCTTTGCTTGCTACATTTGGGATGCCCTCCTGGGTGGGGACAAACACGTGGCAACCACAGGCACCATCCCAGTCGCACGGCTCAACACGCAGAACTTGCACATCAGGACACTATTAACTTGAGTGATCTGCATTTAGTCTTTATTTTTAGCAGAAAGACAATGTATGGGTTTAATAAAAAAGCAGTAAAAAGATATTGCGTTGGCAATTATCACTGTGTGCAGAAGGGAAGAAATAGTGACCAGTACTGAACAACTTGCAGTGCTCTATTTTAATCTTGCTACGTGGAGTCCTTCAGAGTCCCATCCTGCAAAGCTCGCTGACTCCTGTGAAGTGCTGTAGCTCCTCAACTCCCATGGATATAAATAAGATATGAAAATGCTTAGCATTTTGGGAAGTACTTTCTCCATATATGAACACTTTGTAGGGAATTTCCACTCTTGGCTCGTCATTAACACAGAACAGCCTTGACCTAAAAAAAGACATCAGGGCCTCAAACTCAGGCTCTACCATGCCTGTCTTTGGGGCCTCTGGTCCCTAGAGAAGGGCCAGTCCAGGACACCAGGACTCAAGCCAGATCAGGGACCCAGAGGAGCAGCACTGCAGAGCAGAGAACATCTGATGCTGCTGCACACAACCAGTCAGCAAAGAAATTCTAAGGATGGTGATGACCTTCCTTAGGGCTTTGGGAAAGGCTATGGGAAAGTTTCTGACCCTTAGATCTTCCAAAATAAATGTGCCGGTACCATTTCTTTCACTAAACTGAATGAGGTTTGTGCTCCTAAAACAAGTGGTAAAGAGCAGAAGTGTTGTCCTTTTTTTCTGTAACAGCCAGGTGATTTCTTGGGAAGTGGGAGACTTGGGGGCCTTTGCCTATCAGCCTGAAGGGATTTAAATCTACTTTATCTTCTAAGGGAATATGTTTGTGGTCAGTCTGTAAAAGTATTCTGGAAAAAGGGAGGAGGAGGCTCTCAGCTTTCCTTTGAAGTTGTGCTTTCACATAGACATTTGCTTAGCACCTGTGAGGCCAGTGACAGAATAGGAACAGGAACACACTTCTGTAACCAAGAAGTTGTGTTGGGAGATAAACGGTAGGGACCCCAAATGCTTCTAGAAGAGGAGTGTACTGAAATGAGTTGTCCACTACTGTGTGTTTTAATTACTATCTATCAATATAAAGGAGCTGTTGATAGTTTATGCTCTAGCTCTGTTTTAGAAGAATGTCAGAGCTGCAATTGTATTTTGTGGGTGGTTAGAGCCCTATGCTTATGTTGGGGAAATGGTTTCTGTCTCACGACAGTGATTAGCCTAAATTGGATTCCTATTGCCCACTGAGGCAGCTAAAGGTTCAGCCATCTCTGATCCTGTGCAGAGATGCAGGTCTAAGTGACTGGGAAACTAAGTGGAGAAAGAGACCTTTTCTGGCTTAAATACCAGTAACGTACATGATTTTGGACTTCAGGGCCTATCTTCTGTCTAAGTTGCACTCTAGTAGTTAAATCTGTACTGGTTAAATCCAACCCTGAATATTGCTGCTTTGCTTTCTTAGAAATCATTCAGTATTCCACAAATCTATGATTAAGCCTTTACTTGTCTGTGGTTGATAACCTGATTACAAAAGCAACATTACTGGTGTATTTATACTGTAAATATAAATAAAGCTGAGGAAATAACATAGCACATCCAAGTTTGTCTTTGGCTAGAGCACCTACTCTGTAAACTGCTAACTTTCTGAAGTAGATTATTCAGTGTTTTTTCTATATTGTTCCCTAGGGCTCAGCAGCGACTATCGTCTCATGAGTTTCTGACCTTAGCACTACAGATGCCCTTTAGAAACTGTCAAAATCTGTCAGATTCCTCTTTTGAATATAAGCCTTGGATATATACAGAAAAGAGAGAGAGAAAGCAAGCAAAACAAAGAGGTTTTCCTATAGATAAATTTAAGGTTATTAACAAGAACACCCTTAAGTAAAACTATTCCAAATAACAGCATCCTTTAGCTTGCACTTTCCAGTCCTGGTTGGCTCATAGATTTTTTTTCTTCCACTAAGCCTTGTTATCAACTAGATCTGTTGAAGACATTTTGCAGTGATAGAAGACAGTAAGAGTATTTACAGTACCAAACCCACTCAGATCCCCTGCTGCAGAATATGGTCATTCAGAGGAATATATCACCGCAAAAAGCACGTTCTTCTTCTGGAACTCACTCACCACAGCCTTACTGTAGCCCTCACACGGTGCTGCTCTATCTTGGCTCTAAGCCATAGAAATTTATTTCTCTGTCCACAGCCATGATGCACTGCCCTTGCTTTCTGCTTGCAACTTTTTCTTTTGGATTTCACACTGACTCATTCCCTGATGAAATAACATACCTGTCCGGGAGTCCACAGAGAAATATGGCTGTCCTTGGAGAATACTGTATACTACTCTTGCGCTGTTCCCATAGGTTGGGTCATCAGCATCTGTCGCTGTCACCTGGATAACAGAGGTGCCTGACAAAAAAACCATCAAGATAAGACCTTGCGGGATAAAGAGCTGGCATGAAAAGTACACAGGTCAAAGTAAATTGAAATGCCTAACAGGAGCTTACACACACTGAATTTCTTCTTTTGATGCTCACAGTCCTTGTACTTATTGCTCATCCTTGTACCTCATTAGCACTAAAGAAATTAATTGTCATTAATTCATCATGTGTCTCTAAGAAGATATAAAAGAGCAAGTACTCTGTGGACCACAGTTACAGAATTGCTGATCTAACAGTACTTTGTTATGGTTTGCAGAGAGATGGTAGTTATATACTGCTTGCTTCTTTTCCCCTTTTCTTGATTTGAAATGCTATTTAAAGGCAGCTCAAATAAGTTCCTTATCTATGCTGACATAAATCACAAACTGTTGCAGGCCCATAGATGCTGTATGTTGACTAAGGGATGGAAATTGTATGCAAATAGTGAGCATGAAAGGATGTATCTCTCAGATAATCTCTCTGTGGGATTGCAGTTTACATTGCATGACCTAGAGATTATACACTGCTGAAGTGCTTTTTGGAACCCTCACAGGGGCATATATATATATCTTTCTTCAATTGGCTTTCAAGGTCTGCTTCCTCTGAAGATAGTAATGGCTTGCAGGTGATGTAATTTATCAAGAACAAAGAGAAGGTGAGGCACAACTGAAATATACGTGAATTTTGACTCCTTAAAATGTCAGACAATGCCTTTATCAATGTATCTAGCCTTCTACATAATGTTTTGTGTTAGAAACAAATCCACTATTACTAGATAAGGACTAGAAAATAAATCTGAACTCAAGCTAGCCATTACCATTAAGAAACATTATTTCTGACTGTAGCTTTTGTATTTGATGCTTCTCTCTAGCTTTATGTCAACATAATATTGAAGAATGAGAAGTTGAAGCATATCTGTAACTTCAGGACATGAGATTTCTATGTTATTATTATCTCTGCAGTGATGTCACAGAGCCAAAAAGCAATAACCAAAAGCCAAAAAGCAATTCAAGAAAAAAAAAAAGTCCAGAAAAACAGTATTTTGTGTGATTATTTGATTTCTTATATGGAAATGGTTTCTCCTGATTTGTGTAGGTAGGAAGGCTGCTGTTTGTCTTGCAATAACAGGACTGTCTTCAACATGATCTCATTCTCTAAAAGTGGAGGGCAAATAGTACTAGAATCTAAGGATTCAGTGAACTTTGTTTAGTGCAGGCTTACATGGATTAGAAGGAGGTAAGGATTGTTTTCATGTCCCCATGTTTTCAAGGGCTCCTGGACAGTATTTGAGCTCTCAGTATGAACTAGAATAGCTTGTTAAAATTATGTTATTTTCTGGATGGTAATGGCTGTCCAATGGTCATTTCTATTGCTGCCATCTGACTGCAGGGGAGAAGGGGTACTATGTTACTGTGAGTTGTCTGAGCATAGCATGTGTGATCTTTTTTCAGCTCCTGGGCTTCCTTTGGCATGTTTTCTTTTGGAGGGCCCCAGGTGACGTGGTTGCAAAGCCTGCTCTCCCTCTTCTACAGCAGCCAGGCACTCCAGGGTAAGCTCTTCTATCCTACAGCTCCTGCACAAGGGGCAAAAGCTGAGTTCAAAGAGTCAGGTAATTTGTGTTTTGGTGACCATCTCCAATTTGCTTGTAAGGGAAAGAGACTCCATAAAATATGCCTTACCCACAGGTGACATTTCTGGAACAGAGGCTACATAAGGTCCATCCAGGAACTTGGGTTCATTGTCATTGATGTCTTGTATTTTGATGATAAACTCAGACTCCGGTTCCATGGGCCGTCCTGTTCGCCTGTCCAGAGCCTGCGCTCTGAGGGTGTACTGTGACCTTTCTTCCCGATCCAGTCGCTGAATGGCATGAATGTCCCCTGTTGTATCATCAATTGTAAACACAATGCCGGCTCCCTCTCCTGAGAGGATGTATTTGATCGAACCATCTCCCCTGTCCATGTCAGAGTGGAGCTGCAGAAGGGAACAGGATTCAATTAGACCATGAGCTGGGTAAGCAGCTGCTGAGAAACACTAAGAACATGATTACCCTGTCTCACTGTTGGGACTCACAAGCTGGTTTTAATGAACTTGCTTTGCTGAAAGAGGCAAATACCCGTAGAGTATTTGTAGATGTATAGTATACGTATTGTAGAGTTGCAATTAAAACCCCTCTGTCTTCCCATTTCTGCACCCACACCTGTGCCAGAAGAAAAGTCAGAGGCACCCAAACAGGAACAGTCTCTGTGTCTGTTTGGAGTCTCACTCAATAATTATCTTTTGCCTGGTTGCAATGGTTGCTGAGTAGGCTTGGGATAAAGTGAGGTCAGCAAAGCTGCAGATTGGGCTTGCTCTCATGGGGTAGCATAGCAAAGGGTCAAATAAGGCAAATCTGTTTGGGATCAAGTGGAAAATAGGATGGGAGAGCTACTCGGTAACTGTTATGATTCAGAAATATTTTATTTTCATGTAAATTTTAGCAGTAAAATTAGAATGGATCCTTACATCTTCAGGAAAGAATCATTGTCAAACAGTAGATAAGGTAAGCAGCACGAAACATTTGATTGCACCCATTGCAGGCTACAGAGGTGAGACGCATCCCAGATTTTCTAGAAAATTAGCTAACAGATTTATTGCATGACTGCTAATTAGTTCTGAGCAGCCACAGATAGCAATGAGTGTAACAGAACAAAGCAAAAGTAAATGCAATGCTAATAACAATCTAAAACAGGGAAACAAATAATTCTGGGGACTGTCAAAAGACAAACAAATCACTTGATTTCATTCACGCCATGAAAATCCTCATTGATATGCTCATATTTCCATGCTTTTGAGGAACAGAGCATAAAGACCAATGCCAGGAGATGCTATTGGTTCAGTCCCAAAAGACAGGAAGGCAATAGACTTGAGCTGCAATAATCAAAATGGTTCAGGTGTGAATACTGTTTTCCAGTGTGATTATCACTTTGGGAGATGAATAAAGGATAAATGATAAAAAAAAAAGTGGTAAGTGTGGCTTAGATTCAGTTAAGCACATTTTTAATTATCTCAGAAATATGGTCAGAATTAAGTATGTGTATAATGCTTTAGTGAGCTGAAAGGACATATAGAAGTAATTTTGGAGAATGGGACCAAACATAGGTAAATATTTGTCCTGGAGAGAAAAATTTTAGAATAACGTACTGAATATGTGAACAGAGGATTGGTAGAATTTGAAGAAAGAATCCAAACAGAAATGGATAATTTGGGTTGAAAAGCAGAAGTCAAACTTTGTACGTTTGATTACAGGCTATTCTCAGAGAGAAGATATCTCGTCTCCGAGCTGTTTAAAACACACACAAAAAAATTACAATAACTTATCACATAGGAAAAAGTTTATAGGGATGTGGACATAATGGCTTATCTGGCATTTCTAATGCCAGAGGAGTGGCTCCTCTGCTGCTTTATGGAACATGATCCCATTTACTGGAAAGCTGCAAGAGCTTTTTCCCCAGTGGAGGGTCTGGTCAGAAGATGCTCATTCTCTAGTGGTTGTCTTCCTTACTTGCCTCTCAGGTAAGTCACATGACCTACACAAAACTTGGACCCACTACTGATTTTAGGAGACCGATTTCAGCTGAGATGGGATCTCATGGTTTTATATGGCCTGTCCCACCCTGCAGACAGGTCTGTACGTAGGTGGCCCATTGACCCTTCCTGACTGCCGGGACAGTGAGCATTAAGGGCAGCAGCACCGCGACGTGGCTGCGAGTGCAGACAGCGCAGGTTGTGACAATGGCCCTGTCAGGTCACTGATATTCACTTCGCTAAGGCAGTAGTCCCTGCAGTGGCTACTTCATCTGAGAGACATCAGTCCTTTAAGGAATGCTGGCAGCTCTCAGGTGAGGCATTAGCTAAATGGTGGAAGAACAAGCCCAGAAAAATTTGGCAGTGGTGAACAGTTAAATTTAGATGACTGCCACGTGTATTAATTCATATGCAGGCTTCAGGGCTGCAAACTGGCATATCTTCAGGAAACACCATCTTGTGATTAATTTTAAAAAAGACAGTGGTTGTCATTATTTACCCTAAACACCCATAACTCAGAGATTATCACTGTAGGAGCTAGTAAACAGGATGCTTCCAGAAGGAGGACATTATTATAGCTTTTCAAATTGATTCAGAACCACTAAGCTACATTTTGGGCATTTGTTTTAGTGCATCAGTGCACCAGTGAAAGAATGCAGATGCTGAGATGGATACAGATGCTAGACCTGATTGGGGAATAAGAGCTGGGCCTGATGGAAGAAAATGTGTTTTGGAACATCAACAAGTCCTCATTAAATAAGGAAGAAGAAAAAAGAAAAAAAGGAAAGAAGTCAAAGTCAAATTCAAAGTCAAAGAAAAGGCAAAGAAAAATGAAACAGAAAAGAAAAATGAAAAAGAAATTAAAAAATAAGGGGAAAATGGAAAAGAGAAGAAGAAGAAGAAGAAAAAGAGAAAGAAGGAAGCATTTTTAAAATAGCAGTAGGTGCTCAGGAATGTTCAAAAGACTTAGAAGAAGATACTAAATCAAACTCATGGGTTAAATTACACCTTCTGTCCAAAGCTGTATTTGGAATGAATGCAGTTGTGAAGGGAACAAACAAGGAATGAACATGGCACACTATTAAGAATTTGGGAGGACAAGAGGATCTCTGTCTAGCTGTGATTTGTTAAAAATATTGGGCCTCAACCAAGGCCAGTCAGTAAAAAATGCTAGCAGCACTTTTGCAGCTTCTTGTATAACCTGCTCTTTTTAGACAATTAAAAAAAGAGCATAAAAGACATAATACTGCCAGACTGCAATAAATCCGAAAGAATTCGGTGCCTGAAGGGACTGAAGCTCACACCATACCTAATATCAGGATGCTGTAGTTTGGAATGTATGTAGAAGTCACTGTGTTGGAAAGGTAGTCTAATTTTAAGTCGGCTCGGTTTTATGGGTGGTGCAACAACTTGTGCCGCCATGTGGCTGACACAGAATAGGAAGAATTCATTTGTACTTTTTCCTCCGTGTTAAGGAGTGAGAATTGGAGGAATAAAGTCAGTAACTCCTGAGAAATTTTTAACTGTGTCAACCTGGGTTGCTTCTTTTGATGAGAACAGTAAAAAAATTAAGGAGGCTACATCTGCATCAAATTATATATTTCCTGGCAAAGGGCATGCGAAAGAGATTGGTGCTGCAGAGAGCAGTTCATGGGAGGACTTGCACAGCTCTGCTAATTGGTCTGTGACTTGCTCTCCCTTCTCTGCCTCCAGGAAGGTAGGACATGCAGGGGATTTTTGTGAGAATATGTGAATGAGTTTGGTTGATCTGCATTGATAGTCTGTGGAAAAGATGCATTTTATTCGCTTATTCAGCTACTGTGTTTCAAATACTTCTTTCCTTTGAAACAGGGTTGAGGAGTCTCCAGCATGGCAAAATGGTGAAGTCTGTCCCCAGTTCAATTGCTGACACAGTTTAGGCTGATGGATGAATGTGGAAAATACCTGCTGTAGCAAATGAAGGGCCTTTGGTTTCCCTAGTTCATCCTATTAGCCAATAATGGCTACCTGTAGGAAAACTGAAGCCTTGCATTTATCTGTGACAGGACCATGAACCCTCTGTAGCTGAAGTGCTTTAAATCACTATCATGAACACAGGAGAAGAGCAAAGAATGTACTAACTTCACCTCAGGAAGTTTCTTTTCATTTCTCTGTCTGGAAGATATTTTGCACCTCGCCTTACATAGGAAAGTTTATAGAGTCACAGCAGCCTTGGAAACCATGTTAGGCAAGCCTGGACCTATGGTTCAAATCAAGATGCCTTTTTGGTTGCTCCAGTCGTGCACAGCCAGCCAGAAACAGCTGTACAACTGGACCTACGCTGTGCATTTTTTCTCCTTCTGTCAAGGGCTTGGAGAGAGCATATGGATAAAAGCAAGGCCTGGGTATCAGGATGTTTCAGAGTGTCGTGGGTGGTATCAGTTAGAAGAGACCCTGCCAGGCCTGGTGTGGGACTCAGGGCTGTTTTGGAGGGCTGGTGCGAGCAGCCAGCAGCAGACTGGGAGCCCTGTTGCACTTCTGCCCCGCTCCACGCAAGCCCTTACAGAGCTATTTTTGAGCCAGCCCGGGGTGATTTGGGCTGAAAAATTTCTGCCCTGCCAGAACAATTAATTCAGCCCACAGTCTATTCCCTGCTGACTCCTTTCCTAAGGATCCTTAAGACACAGGCAGCATGAACGCAGGCAGGCGACTTTTTTTTTTTTTTTCTTCTTTTTTTTGTGAGAGGCTGCTGCTGCTTCTGAGTGTCTGTGCCTCCGGCTGTGTGAGGCGAGGGGAAGCCTTCACCTCACAGCAGTCCCCACGGCATTCATCCCACTGCTTGGCTGGCTGCTCTGCGCCCAGTTCAGGGATGGGCGAAGATGAAACGTGTGACCCCCTGAGGCTCCTTTTGGCAGCAGAGTTCCCTGGAGCCGGGGCTGCACGGAGCAGTGCTGAGCTGGGAGGCCTTCAGAGCGATCCAGCCACGTCAGCTCAGCGGTGCGTGGGACTAATTGGCCCCGTTAACCGTGGGGGCTAATTAGCCCTTGCGCACCCCTGTACTAACACAGCCGTGGCGAAGGCAGCCCCTGCAGAGAGCTCACTGACGGCAGCTTGGGCTTTTGTGCGGCGGGCACAGACCACGAAGGGCTGTCTCTGCCTCCCTCCCTCCCTTCGGCAGAGCTGAGTGGCAGCGAGCTCAGGAGTGTTGCCGACTGCGCCAAGTGTTTGTGCTCCTAATGACACCATCAAGTCTAAAACAAAGATGACTCGGTTTCTCCCAGTACTTGTTTTTGCTAAAATTTAGCTCACAGTGGAAGCCTGAAGTCATTTCAGACTGAGTGTGTGAAATAATAAGCCTGGCTCTTGTTCCAAAGCTGGGAATTGCATGAAAACAAATATTAATTTCTTTAATCAATAGAGATATCAAGAGCTGAAAAGCTAGGTGCACAGATGAATGAAGACTAATGAGGTCTCATTTGGTGGCAATCACTAGTAATGCCATTGCTGTGGGAGGAAGGAGAGCACATCTTACTGTCAATCATGCAGGGAAAAATCAGGAGGAGGTCTTTTGAAGCCCATGGATTCATTTTGATTTATACTGGTGTGACTTGAGAGCACAGCTTAGCTCTATGGGATTGTAGAATGATAAATAAGAGTCCAAACTGGGCCTCTGGATATGTAATTTTTTTTTCCTCTACACATGGATAGCTTGGAAAAAAAAGGAGCTTATATCATGTAAAAAAATAAACGATGAAATCTGAAGGATTTTTTCTGACAACCTTTCTTAGATTTTATTTTTCATATATACCTATATTTAGTATCCACTCATGATAGCAGTATCTGATATTCTAGGTGTGTAAAAACTTAACTGTATTGTTCAAACACTTAAGCATACTAACCCTCCTCATCCCCATTTTTGCCCAATTTGTCACCTTGGTGTAGAATAGAAGCAAACCTAATGCTGACCATAAACCTTTGAATAACAGAGTCAATACTTTAAACAATTCAGGGTCTTTAAAAATAGTCAGAAAACAAAAAAAGAGGATGGTTAAAGTGAGGCAAATGATGATGACAGACATCACTGATCTGACTTCCATCAGCTTATTCCCCAAGGAGCTGCAGAAAAGTAAATGGAAAATATTGCCAAGTAAACAGGATGAGCTCAGGAGAACATTTTACACATATTTGTACTGATGTGTAGGTTCTTGGGGTATAGGGGATCAAAAAATAGGACCCTTCATGGTTGGATTTAATGAGCTGTCCCTCTACTCTTCTAGATCTTTAGCAACTTCTCTGTAGTCCACAGAATTAACCTGCAGTCAAGATGTGGTAAGCCAGAAGATACTATGACCCTAGAGATTTGCAGAAAGCAAAAATTGAAATGTCAGTTTTCAAGGGAAACTGGCTTTTTAATTTGATTGTGAATTTCAGCTTCCAGCTGACTTGATCACGGACAGAAGCAGGATCACAAACTCTTCCTTTCTTTCCTAATCTGTATATGTCAATATAACCTTGCTTTGCCTTGACATTGTAGAGTCCCTGGAAAGATCGCTGCAGATTTTCCAACACTACCTCAAATTACAGATGGTGATTGATGCAGCAGATCTCTTTGAAATAGGCAAATATATTGACAGCCCCTTGAAACAGAAATTCTTCCCAAATGAAGGTGACATGGGGCAAAAGCTCTTGGGAGCAGAAGTGAAATTAATGTGGATAAATTCACTGCCTGAAAGAAGGTAGAGGCATTTAGGGAAACATCCTGTGTCTCACCACAGTCCACAGCTACACAGATGCTCTGCCAGATATCCTCCTGGTGAGGGTCTTACCTTCCCGACGTAGAGAGGGTCAGTTCCCGTGTACTCCTCTAGAACAAAGAACTGGTTCCACACCCAGCTCCTCTTCATACGCTGATGCAGCTTGTCTGACAGGTTGTCTTCTTGCCCTTCAGTGAGGGGCCTGGCACTTCCTGACAGCATAGTTGTAGTAAGGTCCATCAGTCCACAAAAATACAAGGAGACGCCAAGTCCAAATAAGTTCTTTGCATTGCTCATTCTACCTGAAGTCCACATCCGTATACTGGGACTGACTTAAAAGTCCAAACGCAGTATCTTAGGTCCCTTGAGAATAAAGTAAGTTCTCTGTGTAGTCCTTTGAAATGTCCAGGAGAGATACTGGTTCTCAGAAAGGCAGTGTCCTGTAAAGTTAAAGGAAATTCATAGGAGCATGCTTTTTTCCTCAAGACAAAAGAGTTTCCTCAATAAGAAAATATGCTATAAAGTATTTACTCTTCTACATAAAAATGCAATATCAGGATGCACACTTTCTGAAACCAGAAATACTATTGCCATATAAGCTGCAGACCTGGAGCACTAGACACAAGAAACATCGGGGGTTAGTCAATAAGTAAGAGTTCTCTACTTTGCTAATTTAGCTGTAGTGTTGTTTTGTGATATTGATCGTCACGAACTAAGTGCCTACTCTTTAGAAATATTTATGACCATAAGTCCTTAGAGAATATTTAAAATCAGTTCACTCTGGCAAATTATGATAGCTAGTGAACAAGATTTGGCAACTGTCTTCCTGTTTGGAAACTAAGACATTGTCATTACAAACACGTCCATGCACAAACGTCTACATAAATATAGATATTATTGCTATATGGCAAACCTTGAATATAATTTCTAGCAGCTCCAAGTTATTTCCAATTTTAATTATTCTTTCAGCCTCTCTGTTGCTTGAATTCAGGTTTCACACTCTGCTGCCTCCTCTCTGAGGAGCTGATTGCTGCTACAAATGCAATATTTCTAGAATTTGAATGGTCAGTTAAACATTTTATAACCCACAAAATGTTTCACAGTGCTGATGGCCACATGCTATCGTGTAATTTGTCCAAGAAAGTCAAGCTAACACATTTTTTCCATGACAAACCTGAAAGACCTCTTTAGGAAGACGAATGTTGACCTCTATCAGAGGACACTTTCTCATCAGTCTAGGACAACTTTTGTTGCCATGAAGTCTAGTTGGTGACCTCACTCCAGGCTATGGATTGTAGCAAACCTTTCCTTCACCATTTTGTGAAGTTTAATAACTTGCTGCTGCACTCAAGTTACCCTGTCAAAACACTCCATACATCCTCTGTTGGCCCAGTAATTTTGCTATTCCTCTAAAAAACTCTCCTTTCTCATTTCATGACAAACAGACTCATTAGGAAAGGCATATGGAGCTCTGAGGCTTAAGCAAGCAGTTCAGACCTCATTTTACTGCTGTTCTAGTCTTAGATCTTTAGGCTTAATCAATTGATTTATCCAGTGGAAATAAAATATAGCAGATGTCTGTCAAATATTTCCAACTGAAATCCTTGAAAAATTTCAAAATCATAAAAAGCATTTTAGTGGGTTGCATGATAATATTTTAAAGTGAAGACTAAGACAATACAAAGTTTTTAACAGAGAAGAAGAAAGTGTTTGAAAATTCCCCAGCTTCCAAGCTGCTACAAGTGGAGAACTGAGCACACTTAGAAATCTTCAGAAATTCAGAAATTAATCCAAAACTTGGCTGAAATCTGAAAACAGCAGCTTAGGTTTGGAATAGATGTCCACAGTGGGAGTAGAGACAAAGTAACTATCTAAGGCTAATTTCTACACAAAATGATGTTTCAAAGTAAAAAGCCCAGAAGAAATACAATTACACAATGCTGCCAGCCTATACCGTTGTAAAATTTAGCAAAATAATAGGTCCTTTACCTTGAAAAGTTTACAATCTAATCCGGAATAGGCACAACAAAGAAAGGACAAACTATAAGTACAAAACATGGTAAATCTCCCCTAAGCAGAGCAATGTACAGAACTGCTGGTTGTTTAGACATTGGCTACATAATGTGCTAGGGCTTGTTGTCTGCAAAGCCAAAGAATGGGGATTTATCTAAGCAGTACAAGCCCAAAAAGACCACAGTAATCTCTGTGTGTCTGTCACTTCACGAAGAAGTTGGCAGCTGTTTGTGAAAGGCAGGGACGAGGCCCAGCTTGCTGGATGCCCACAGTCACAGCAGTATAAGAACTATGTGTGCAGTGCTTGCCTCTCTCTGTACTGTGATTCCTTTGCTCCAAACAGCCAATACACATTTACGCTGGAGGAAGGAGGCTGAAGCCCTCTGCACACATTAAGTATGACCAGCTTCCTCTTGGCATGTTGCATACAGCAAGTTATTCTCAGCAAAGTCAGGGAGACATTTTTTCAGCCCACATTTGGCTGGCAAGTAAATGATTGGAAGGACTTCCCACCACCCCCCAGCATAATTTAAGAGAACCCATCACTGCCATGTAAGAAGGAAAAGTGGGGGCAGGCTATGGTCCAGCAGCTAAGGTTCTGCCTGGAGTCTTTGCTTTAAGAAATTTCAGCTATTGCACAGATCAGTTGCATTTTTGTTTGTGTGACAAAGAGGTGATATAAAAAAATGGACCAATTCCTGTGGCAACAAGAGTTGTGTTTGTAGGTGAACTCTCAAGCCACAAATTCAAAACTAATGGTGCCAGATGTCTCTTGCAATTAAGTTCAGCTATAAAGGATCAACAGTGCTTAGGCAAGATAATATCAAGACATTGTTAAATGAACTCACAGAGTTACCAATATACCTGTAATGAGGCAATAGCAAAAGAAATCTGATCATCAGTATGCTTTTTATGCACATGTGAATCAAATCAGCAGAAAGCAAAGTAAGTAAAAACAGCAGGATAAAGGTTAAGAGTAGAGACATAAATGCTTTAGGCTCTCTGTGATAACAGCTTTTTTCATTTGAATCTGCAGTTCCATGAGGAACCTTTCTTGAAAACACTGTGCGACTTAGTGGTCTCCAGGAGCAACATCCCTAAGAAAGCAACATTATTCTGGGGCACAGCAACTGTCAGGAAACTTGCCCTTAAGTAAGGTAAAGTCTTGTAAAAGTATGTTACTTTCCTCAGTACCAGTAATTCCCCCATTTAATACCAGCCCATGGTGACATGGTCATATATTTTTGTAGGAATGGAAGAAGACCCCAGTGTTGGAGTGGAACAGATTTTTTTTTTCTTTGTTAATAGCAGAGTTTGTGGTGTCTCATGCCTTTCAGAACTGTGAGCAAGAAGGCTCAAGCTCATCGCATTTACTGCTCGCTTAAAGGCAAATGACTACTATTAATAGCAGTGTTTAATCCAGAATGGTTCCTTTCTCTCTGAGGCTGAAGGTGAATGACATTTTTTTCTGTCTCAGGTCCTCCACTGGTGTTAAAAGAATAACAAAGACCTCTGTTGACTTCTGGACTGAGACACTGCTGATCTCTCTGGGTCTCTTTTCCTGCAGCTTCACCAAACACAGGTGTGTACTATTGGCCTCTGCATCTGCAAGGCCTGATGATCAAGGAATGTGTTTCTTAGCAGTATAAGAAGGCACCCATATACATTTAGGGTTGGTAACACAAGTGATAGCTGAGCTACAGTTAAGGCTGTAGGTAACTGAGTGTTTCAGAGGACTCATGCAGATGGCTTCTTCAACAGCTGAGTGTGATGGATGAGTACAGACTCAGACTGTAGGTGTGACAGTTGGTTAGGATAATAGCCATATGTTTTGAGAGTGTCAGCTTGATAGGATCTCTAGACTTAGGTGGACCACAATGATTTTTGCCACAGATGGATGGCACAGGCTTTGAGATAGAGTCTGTTCTTCTGTCCCAGGCTGAGGGGAAAGTAGTAGTTCCTTGCAGGGCATCAGGACTCATCATACAGGAAGGTGTTTCTTGCCATGACTGAGTGAGGCAGAACTGAACTTTCAATGTTCTCTTAATGCAAGATTTTTCTTGCAGCCCTTCAAAACACATTCTTAAGGAAATCTGCAAAGATAGAATTGATGAACCTCTGCTTGCCGTATGTTTCATGACCCAGCATGGGGAGGCACAAAGGATTTGAGGGCAGTAAAGAGAGGGGAATCTTGTTTTCCTTGCTCACAAAAATTACTGAGCCCAGGAAGACTGCATGTTCGAAATCTGGGGGATTTCTGCAGATGGTGTTTTATTTTTCAATAACAATTTAAATATTTCATTTTGTTACTTACAGTTGAGTACTCCATTGTAAAATGATCAGGTGTATCTGGGCAGTTTAGATCACTGACTCAAAGTGAATGCCTTTCTTGCCCCTGCTTTTGTGATGAATATTTGATTATCATCTCAGTTGTTTAGGTTATTTTCTTTGTTCTTGGCTTTCAAACATCACTGAAAATCCTTTTTCCTGTCAATCAGCAGTTACAAATGGGGCTTTTGGCTCCGTAAAGACCCATGAAGATCTGATGAACTCTGTGCTACTGGTGGTCTATGCATGGTACAAAGGAACTACCTAACTCTTCTACACAAAAGAGTCACAATAATGCACTTTCCAATAATGCAAATACAAATTTCTCTTTTAGCCCATATTGCAAATTAAAGTAGGCATATTCCAAGTGTGAGCCTACTCTTCATGCTCCATTTTTAATGACACCCTCTGACACATATTTGTTCTGTAATTAAGCTATTCTTAATTGAATATCTAATTCTGGACAAAGATGAAAAGGAAAATGAAATAACTGCCGGAACCAACTTCTAGCATTTCTTGCAAGTGACCCATTTATCTTTTAATTCTGAAAAGAACAACACTTCTAAAGAAAGGATAAAAACATTAATAGTTTGGATGACCATATGGGCACCCAGAGAGTTCCACTGGGATTAAAATGTATTGTGCTCAATACATGTTTACATAAATGCCAAGGATTTTATAGTCAAAGTGCTCAGACTTGAAAAGCTTTACAGACATACTTAGTAAATTCGTCACATTGAGCAAATGATCTCCCAGAAAGTCAGTGGACTATTTGCATTCATAAAATTAATTACATGCTTGTATCTTTTTAGATATATATTTTATGCCTGGTCCTTCCAATGGAATTTGCTGTATGGACTTAACACTCTTGTAGAATGCTACAGACCTTAGTGGATGCTGTGCATCACATTTCTTGAGCAGAAGCAATTAGTTTGGAGAGGACATATTATACTGAGAAAGTGGGGAGGAAAGAGACAACAGGTTTTAAACTCCCTCTTCCATTCTCTCAGTACATGAATCCACAAATACATGTGATATTTTGAATGTAAATGTTTCTAATTTGTAAATGTTTCTTAGCAGCACATACACTGCACTAGGA